TGAGGTTAGGATGAACTCTACAAGAGCAGAAGTAGGTAATAGTAGCAGCTTTGGCTCGCAAGTACTTGTCCTCGAACTCAGTGTAAGTTATTAAAGTCTAGGTTAGTTAGTTTGTAGGTATGAAAAGCTCTAGCAATGATGTCTTGAAGATAAATTAGTCCTAAGGCTACAGCATGCATCCGGGACTTCTTGACTAACAGATAAATGGAGATGTACTGGTAATACAAGTGGGTTGTATATGTTATAGAGGGTTTAAATAGATAATACTCTAGTTGGGTTATAGGTATAGCAAATAGTATAGTTCTTACAGTATACTGTTGCAAACTACTTAAATCGGCAAACAAAAGTTGCATATTTGACTACTTGTAATCTCTAATGTAAATGAGGTTCCTCTGTGAGCTTCTCAATCTGTTATATTTAAATAACCTCCACACCAAAGAGGCTATTTAAAAAAATATATATATATAGCTTATTATAATTAGAAATTTATTATATTTGATCAATAATAATTGTATATTATTTAGTAATAATTTTTAGTAAAATTTTTTTTTAGATTGTTTAGCAGATCACAAATCTTATTAAAATAAGCTTGTTGCAAGTTCTTTTATTTAATTGATAATCCGCCTATGAACTGGAGAATAGGCGAAATGAGATGTCTGCCATCTAAAACTTTTTTTTTTACTAATTTAAGGATATATACTTATTAATTAAAAGTTGTAGAGCTTGTCAAGACACATCTAACAGTGGTTAGATCATCTAAATCAGCCTAGTAGATGGCGAGATCGATTGAAATACTATTGGTTAACTATATAAAAATTTGTGACAAAAATTACATATAAAAATTAACATCGTTGAAATGTGGCAAGCTTCTATATAAAAGTTGTAGAGCTTGTCAAGATGCATCTAATAGTAGTTAGATCATCCAAATCAGCCTAGTGGATGGTGAAATATCATTGAAAAACAATTAGCTGACTATATAAAATCTCTATGTAAACAAACATTGTTTACATAGAATTTTTATATAGTTGGCCAATCGTTTTTTAACAATATCTTGCCATCCACTAGGCCAATTTGGATGATCTAACCACTATTAGATGCATCTCGATGAGCTCTACAACTTTCAATTAATGACTATATATAGTTAACTTAGTAAGAAAAAAAGTTTTAGATAGGAGCTCACCACATTTTGACAATGGTGATTTTTATATATAATTTTCATTACAGATTTTTATATAGTTAGCCAATCGTATTCTGACAATATCTCGCCATCCACTGGGTCAATTTGGATGATCTAACTACTGTTAGATGCATTTGATGAGCTCTACAACTTTTAATTAGTAAGTATATATCCTTAACTTAGTAAGAAAAAAAGTTTTAGATGGCAGACATCTCATTTCACCTATTCTTCAGTTCATAAATAGATTATTAATTAATATTAAATACAAGTTAAAACATCATATTTTATTTCTGTTGATATTTTTTATTTGCATCTTATCTAATTAAAAGAATTTATCTATTAAGTTACTGTAATTTTATTTTTAGTTATAGAAGCATATATGCTTTAACTTTGATTATATTAATATTTATTTGATATGTTTAACTTAAAAAAAAAAAGCCAATATTAATTAATCAGAGCAATATTATTAAATAAATATAAATAAATTTTATGCTATTCAAAGTTATTAAACTACTTATATTGATTTGAAGTTTTATTTTAGTTTAAATCTACAAATTTATTTAATGTACAATCAGTGATTATTTTTACTATATAGACAGTGCATAGTACAAAAAACAAAATTTTGTATATATTTATTTTAAATAATATATATAGATGCTGCACAGAAAAAATTATTTTGTAAGAAATATGCACTCTTGTAAATAGCTGCTCATATTTTTTACTTATTATACAGAAAAGTTTCTAAATTATTCAGTATCTGTACAATAAATATTGACTAAAAATTAATACTATGTATAATATTAAATTACAATAAATAAATAAACTATAATTGCCTAACAACAATTCTATTTTAATAAACTTTTGAAATAAATAAAGTCATCTTCTTCAACTTTAATTCTAGAAAATATTAATATTCTAATTATTACATATATTAATATTATCTCTATCTGCAAATTCTCAATAACATTTAAATATCTTATTGTTATTTTTAACTTTAATTCTGTTAACACCAAATCAATAATGAATATTTTACCAGAATGACTATACTTATTAGCAAAATCTGAATAAATCTCAAACTTTTAAAAAAATACAATTTATAAAAAAAAAATTAAAAATTTGCAAACAGATTATATATAAGACTAGTGCGATGAATGGTGCTTTACACTACCTTATCTTATTTAATATTTGAGAAAACTTTAGTAAATTTATTAATTAATAGATTCTATACTCACTTTTAAATTGAAATTAAATAAGTATTGGTAATAGCAAATATTAATAGTAAGTTATAAAATCATAAATTTTAGTAAACCTTGAAGCTTCTTAGGTATATATTATTTATATTTCAATTAAGTGATTATAAGATAAATTGAAAAATTTTTAAAATAATAAAAAATATAAATACTGTATTATATTGTAAGAAATAATTAAGTAATTATATAATATTCAGATAGCAAAATTTGATTAAAATGTTGTATAGCAGAATAACAATCTGACTAAATTATAAATTTCAAGAATAAATAGGATACTGCTAGCACTCTTAATAGTATATTCATGTAAATAATATATAAATAAAGAAAAGTTAGTTGTATATATTATTATTTACTAAAATTTATTTCTAATTGTATTTAGCTTCTAATTTTAATAAAATATAAAAGATTAAAGTTAAGTATTACTATGATAAATTTTTACTCAAAAACTATTAGGATTTCTAGAAAAATTTTTTGAAAAGCATATCCTGACTTTCTCTTGATTATCATTCTAAAAAATATTTATTTTAGTAATAGATTATATACAAATTCCTAGTTATTTCTATAGAATCCTAATAAATTTCAAATAAAAATCAAATCTTAATAAGATTTGACTTTTAATTATAATAAAATACAAAAAATTAAAAACAGAATTTTATCCAGATTTGATTTTATCTAAAAATTATTAAGATTCTATGGAAATGATCAGAAATTTGTATATAATTTGGTTTAAAAAATATGCATTTTTCAAAATGATAATTTGAAAAAGTTAGAATAGAGAATCTTATGAAGATAAATGTTTTAGAAAAATAAATTACTAAAATGACATTCTGAAAAAAATTTAATTTCAAAAATTTTTTCTATAGTATATAGTTCTAAGCATAGAAATAGTAACTTAAAAATAAAAATATTTTTAGTCAGTCTAGAAGCATTTAAAAAATTGACTCATATAAGAAAAATTACCTTATAATGAACCTTAAAAATTTTTTGAAAATTGTATCCTGATTTTTCCAGACTATTGTTCTATTTTTTGAAAAAAACATAAATAAATTCCTGATCATTTTCATAGAATTCTTGTAATTTTTGGATAGAAATCAAATCTGGATAAGACTCAGATTCTAATCTTTTTATACTTCATTATAATTAAAAGCTGAATCTTAACTGAATTTGATTTTTATCTAAATTTAGTAGAATTCTATGGAAATGACCAAAAAATAAGTATTTCCCAAAACAATAATAGAATGATAGTCTGTAGAAAGTCAGTATACATTTTTTAAAAATCTTTTATAGAACAAAGGCTGACTTCTTCATTAAACTTATAAACAACACAACAGCAAGAAATACAATAAGCCTAGAGATAGAACACTGAGCAGCCTGCGTAGTAGATTCAAAAAATCTTCAATTTTCTCATCTCTAAATGAGCCCTTAGTAATGTTTAATCAAGCCCAGGTCTACGGACACGTACAGATTGCACGTACCTAACTTTAGGGTAAGTATATTAACACGTGACAGGTTTTTAGATTTATAATAGGTACGTACGTGCAAAATCACGTAAATTGGTACGTGTCCGTAGAACGAACGTACGTACGTAAGGTCGACACCATAGATGCAGACTTATGACATTACCTAATTACGTCATATATAAAAAATTGGTTTATAATGTAAACCGCGTAACTAATGACGTAAATAAATCTGCATCTATATTCGACATTATTCGGGTTAACAGGACCATAGTTATGCAAACATAGCTAGGCCAATTGATTGGTTATATTTAAGTCTTTTAGGTATAAATGATCAATTCAATCCATCCATAATTTTCGTAATAATGACATTAATCAATCTTTTGGCATTGTTATTTATTTTAAATAAAAAGGCTTTAGTTGCTTGTTCTTGAAAAAGAAAAGACTCGATAAGCCATAAATGTTTTGTAATACTATATAAATATAACGAGACCAAATTGATTTCGCCTTTATAAAATGTGTAAAATTTCATGTGCAGATTTTATAATAGAATATGATAAACAAAAAAAAATATATATTTATTTTCCTGGTAGCTAGAATTAATAAGATCTATTTCTGTAAATATAAAACTGAGTTAAAATCTTTTAGAAATTATATAAAATTAAAGAAATTATAGATATTAGTCGAATATCATGGATGTTAAAACTTCATAATAAATACGAATATTTAAAGCTTACAATAAAGTCAAACAATAAAGTTCCACCATTTCCCAACAGCCAAGGAAGGTTAATGAGTAAGTAGTTAAACTCCATTGAGTAAAGTAATATTGACTGTAAATTAAAATTTATAAATTCGCTGATCGATTACGAATATTTCAAGTCAATCTAAAAATTGTAACCTTTAATACATACCGAACAGAATGTAACGTTTCCCAAAACACAAAAACAGAACATAGCCAGTGATAATCCTTCAGTAGATCGTGACTTATGGTTTTGAATAATTTGAGGAATTCTTGCACCAACTAAGATTTAATGTTAATTACACAATATAAATTATACATGCAATACATATGGTACGAGTATATACTGTGTTAATTAATGATCCTCACATCTATAATTAAAAAAAAGACTTACGATAAAGCATAGCGCTACACCATCCAAAAATCTGTGGTAATAATTCCATTTGTTGCTGATCACCTTGTCCATTCTTTTCATTATCCCTAAATAGAGTAGAGATATAATACATAATAAATCCAGCAACACAGACACCAACGAGTTCTACCAAAATTTCTAAGAATTGTTTGGTGCTTGATCGATTTACTAATGTTTGTGGATTAGTGCGAATTGGTTGCAAAAGAGATACTTCTTCGTCTGAGTCATAATTTCTATACTTTCTACGAATACGATAATAATAAATTTGTAATATAATTGAAAAATCGATTGCGTTATGATATATCGCAATTAGAATCTAAAAAATAATATCACACATTAGTAAGAAATGAAATTTCTCATGAGATAAATTCATGTGAGATTATGAATCAAACCATTTGATCATGGATAAGCCGAATAATTCAACAATAATTTCAAATATTTTCGTAGGATGATTAACTACGACTCACCACTGTTAGTAATAACTTTTGTAAAATAGCACCGAGCAAGTTAAAAAAGTCACCAAGTAACCATATATAGACGAAAGGTAGTGACACTGAGTCACCTGACTTTCGTTTGTAGTTTTCATAAAGCTGTCTATTGCAAAAAAATAAATTCGTTTATAAATTTCGTTCAATATCAAGACTAATTATGATAATCCTATATTATTAACTATATTATTAGCTATATTATTAATTACTTACGGAAATGCCACTACCATCCAACAAGCTATTGATATAAACCCTGCAATTTCTGACCAGACTATATAATCATATTGCAACATTTTTCTTTATTTTTTTTTTATTTTATTAACGTTAGAAAATGATTCCAAGATTTTGTTTTTTCAACAAAAAAAGGGTAAGTTTAAAAATTAATTCATTATTCTGTTTATTATTTATTTATTGTTTACTTATTTCTGGAATGATCATCAGTATCCTTATTAGCGTTAACAAAGAAAATAGATTGTATGTACATATACATACTAATGCGATCATTTTTAATTAATCAGAGAATTGGGGATTGTTCCATTTATAGTAAGTGAGGTTTTTTTTCGTATAAAGTACATATGTAAGTACGTACGTACGATGTGTTGCTACCTATAGTTTGTCCGTCCCGATATTACCTTACGCCTGCCCATCTTTTTCCCACGTAAATCTAGCGTACGTACGTATAGCTTGTAGACTACATTGTGCAGGAAATTATTTAGGTGTCGTACGCGCCCCAAATGGAATCGACTCGAATCAGAATCAGGTTTCCCTGGATGGTAATTTTGTAAATTATTTAACGAAATTAGAGTTTTATGGTAAAAATTAGCGTCATTGTTAAGCATTCAGGGTTATAATAGGTTAGTAATTGAGGCAATAAATAATTGGACGAATTATAAATTACAAAATTCAAGCCTGGTTATGATCCGGGGGTTCAATTTTGTACAACATAACTGTGCCCTCAAATGGCAGGTTGTTACACGATTTACGATTTAAGATATAATAAAAAAATTTTTATATGCACTTACATGCGTACATATGTCGTACGTACGTATGTGCTTGCGTAATCCATCTCATCTATTTCTTGTGCGCAGATTAGCGATTACGTAACTGATTTTGATGCGATACTGGTGCGTTATAAAGTGGGCCAAGTGAGTTAAGTAACTTGAAACTTTCATCATATTGAAATATATTTTCCTTATCACAGTTAAGTATACAAACATACAGGGTTGGTGAAAAGTAACTGAACAGTGACCTATTTTACTATCTCCGCTAATATTGACCTTCTATAATTATTTATTATATCTACGTAATACTGGTATAAAAGTTAAGTGATAATCTATAGTTTAAAGAAAGGTAACTGTTCAGTTACTTTTCACCAACCCGGTATACGTACAGTACCGTTATTTTGCTATTTAAATTTGCGAATACGCTGCATCTAAATGAAGAAATGAGTGGAATGTCAATATGGTCAAAAATTTGGTATGACATCTGTTTACCATTGTCGTATGTACGTACGTACACAAGACAATTCTGATAAAATTTAGAATAAAATGTAAAATTTTAGACATATTTATTATTCTTTGACATATCTTTCAAGCTAAAAATTGGGGACGTTTAAAGCCTAGTACCTTCCTGGTTTTCCAATGTTTAATTAATATTAGGTTAGGGCTAGACATAGGCTAGGAGGTTAATAAATATATAGTAAAATCGCATTTCCAACACTTTTACTTAGTGCATCAAGACCGATTTTGATAACCATTTTTTATATTTTCGTGTTTTTGTCGTTGTCGTTTTGTTCGGAATAATCCGTGACACATATTGTGTAATTTCGTAAAGTGCCAGCCCTAAAAATTGAAACAATGAATGTTGTTACGCAAAATTTTTTTACGCTGTGATCTCCGCAATAAACCTGTTTACATTTTATGATTACATTCAAGAACCTGATTACTACATTTTTCGTCGATTGTTACTTCATTACCAACCCTTACGTAATAATTTTTATTTCTTCCCATTACTACATTTTTTCCATTCATTACTTTGCCTTCACGACATTCTCTCTTTATTGCTTCATAAACTGTAATCGTGATCGATAAATACTTAATTTTGCTGCATGAGGAAGTGTATATAAAGAGTGACTTCGCTGGTGAGTAAAAAAAAATAGATGTATATATTATGAAACAATCCGATCAGATCAGAGCACAAAACTTAGATTTCCGTTTACGTAAGACAATTTCCGCCTCGACTATCAGTCGGAAATTTTATATTACTTAGATAAATTTTATTGTCCATTATGTTTGAACCTCTGATTAAAAAAGAAATTGCCGGCAAAAAAGCAGGTTACATCCCCGGGAATTTTGTGCACTGAATCCGATACTTAAAAAAACTCCTACGTACGTACGCACGTACCTGAAAACAGTAATAATAACAAAGCGAATTAAAGGCCAATCTGCTATCAAAATAAGTAATCCTTAATTGTCGTGCATCGGTCTTAACATATACCAGTATAAATCCAAATTAATACAGTTAGATAATCATAAAGCCTAACGCTAAAAACAACACAACTAACCCCAGACGTACATATAAGTTCTAAATTTCCGCGGCACAACTAAGTAAGCAGACAACTGTACAGTTACCTTCGTATGCTTACAGCCCATAGCTAAAATTGGAAAACAGTATTGAAAGTCTCTCCCAGACCGTAATATTGCAGTTATGAGCGGTCATAACTAGGGATGAGATCGGTTACGAACGGTTACGATTATTCATAGCCAATTTGCTGATACTGTTGTCCAAAATTAAATTATGTTCATCCCATCTTATAAGTGGAAAGAACGATACCTTCTCTGGAACCTCGGGAATTTTAAAATTTGTTAATGTCATAGCAGGTTCTTAATCGCCAGCTAATAACCGGTTATGACGTTAATGAATTTTAAAATTCCGAGTTCCAGAAGATATCGTAATTTAATTTTGAACAACTTTAATTAATGGCTCAAAAATAAAAAATCATCTCAGTATTTAGCAAATCGGCTATGAATAATCGTAATCGCTCGTAACCGATCCCATTCCTAGTCATAACTATAACTGCTTCCGGCCAGTTAGTGAACTTTAACTGACCAGCTTAAATTAATTCAGACTCAAATGTAAAAATCGTGAACCTGAATCAGGTTCAAGTAAACAGAATTTTGGTTCATTTGCCTATCCTGCTTTCTTAAACCTTCGAGCTCATATGAACCTGATTTCATTTCCAATATAGTTTATTTAGATTAAACTGACTTCGATTTATTTGAACTCGGTGTGAATTAACTTGTCTGTATTTATAAAAATTTTACCGTTATAGTGTAGATCATTGTACCCGGTGTGATGCAAAATTTAAAAATCACATGATTTTCGCATCGCGTACATACATAAATACCGTATTCCTCTGAAAATAGGCTCTCTTTTTTTGCACGTAATGCTGGCCGTGATTGTTGTAAAGCGGGCCAAAGTTGGCATAGTGTGGGCTAGAGGTGCTTATTTTACGGCAGTCATATGGGCTTAAACGGATGCATTTCATTAGTGTGATATTTTCGAATTGCACATCAATTTTTATTGATCACTTTAATTATCAAAATTATTACGTTTTTTATTAGTAAAAAGGTCCCATCTAGAAACCTTTTAAGTAAATAACAAAAAGGCCCTGTCCAGGGACTTATGTACGTTGTGGCAGGGAAAATCGGTAACTATACAAAAACTAAACTAACAAGGGTCGTTACTACACTAAAATCCGACACAAGTACTACTAAATTTAATAATATCTTTCCTTTACACCCTAATTGGCAGGCTTCG